AATTTCACCAAAAATTTACTTTCGGTCTCAAAAATTACCAAAACCCTAGATTGTGTTGTAACCTTTTTCCCACTCATTGTGTTTTGTAGGACTAGCTGACGAGACAAACAATTGAGAGTGGTCGTGAAGTTGGTGGTCTCTACTACCTTGATGATGATATATGCTTTACTTTGAAGGCCTCCACTAGTGGCAGTAGTAACAAGGAGCCAAGCACGGTCCTTTTCACTTGGCATGCTAGATTAGGTCATATGTCTTTTTCATTGTTGAAAGTTTTGTTACCAGAATTATTTGAAAATGTGTTTGTTGAAAGTCTATTTTGTGATGTGTGCCAGTTGGCAAAACACTGTAAGGCAAACTATCCAAGTTTTATTAGTAATGTCACTATCTTTTTTGACTTAGTTCACTCTGATGTGTGGGGTCCTTCACCCATTATTTCTAAGGATGGCTATTGTTATTTTATCAGTTTCATTGATCACTTCTCGAGGTGTACATGGGTTTATCTTATGAAAGAACGTGAGGAAGTTCCTAGAATCACTATGATATTTTGTAAGGTGGTTGAAACCYAGTTTCGAAAGAAAGTTAAACAATTCAGGTTAGATAATGCAATTGATTACTTTAAGGACACCTTGAAAACATTCTTTGAAGATAAAGAGACTTTACACCAATCCTTTTGTAGTTAAACCCCACAACAGGATGAGGTAGCAGAGAGGAAAAGTAGATATCTTATTGGAGACAGTCTGCTCTATTGTTTCAACACAAGGTTTCCAAGTAGTATCGGTCTCATGTAGTGCTGTTTGCATCATATTTGGTAAATAAGATGCCATCCAGGATACTTGGGTTGAAAAACCCTTCCTCTGTTCTTTGTCCTAATGATCATGTGTTTTCTTTACCACCAAAAGTCTTTGGTTGTGTCTGCTTCATTCACGTTAAGAATCCAAAAAGAAACAAGTTGGATCCAAGGGCAATTCGGGGGGGTTATTCACCCACACAAAAAGGATACAAGTGCTTTGATCCGCACACAGGGAGAAAATTTGTCACCAAGGATGTTACCTTTTGTGACATTTATCAAAAAGAAAAGGATGTTACCTTTTGTGAGTCACTATCTTTCTTTGAACGGAGAAATCGGAGAATTGTGGAGTGGAAGAGAAGTCCTTTGAAGTCCATTTGTCTCTTCTCTGCTTCCATCCTCTCCTCTTGCTCCTTAGTGTTCTGATAGTCATGGTCCTTCTCCTAACCCACAAGCCCAATATGATGAGACTGCTCCTACTCCCATTACTCAAAATGATGAAGTGGTTCCTACTATAGAAGAGGACAAGATTGTTGGGAGGGAGATGAGTGTGTATTGGAGGAAAAGGAAGAGAGGCCCATCAGTTGATGACTACAACAAGTTAGATGCCTTTGAAGCTAGCCAATGTAATATCCTTGTTACTTCTGACTCTGATTTGGATCTTCCCATTGCTTTGCAGAAACCCACTTGGTCTTATACTCTTCACCCTATAAATAGGTTTGTTTCTTATTCCCATTTGTCCCCAACATACTATTCCTTTGTTTCTACCTTGTCTTCTATTTCCACTCCTAGGTACACTGAGGCAGTTCCTAACCCTAAATGGAGGGAAGCAATGGATGAAGAAATGAGAGTATTATTAAAGGTTGGTACTTGGGAAGTGGTGGACCTACTAGTAGGAAAGAGCATTGTTGGGTGTAAATGGGTGTACACTGTGAAACATAAGGCCGATGGATCAGTGGAAAGATATGAAGCAATGTTAGTGGCAAAAGGGTTCACATGGGAGGAGCACATTAACTATACAGAGACCTTTGTTCCAGTTGCCAAGCTGAACACCATATGGGTGCATAGTTTTCAGGGCGTCTAGGCAATTCTGGGTGACACTAGGGCGCCTAGTTGCCTAGGCGGTAAAAGCTTTATAGTATAAAAAACTAACTTTGGATATTTCCCTAGTTTTATATACCATTCAGCATGTATATTAATAGAAAAAATAGCAATTCTTTTTAGTAAGAACATTAAATCTCCTCTAAAAATGTGGCAAATCGTCACATATAAAAGATAAAAATCTTTTACATATATTAATTTCATTATTTTCAAAAATAATACTACTATAATAAGTACTTAATAGAGCAATTTCATATAAATTAGCAGCTAAAGAAGGTTATAACTTTATATGATAAATATTCAAGATTGAAAGCAAAATAGAAAAAACAAGGATGGAGTTTCTGTTTTATTTAATTAGAGAGAGAGAATAGAAAAAAAGAACCTCTTTATAATTCTATTTTGTCTTTCCTCTTTCTTTCTTTCTTTTCAAAACCCTTTGATCTTTTAAATTTCAATAGTAAACTTTAAAACAAAATATAATTGATATATATAGCATATAATAAAATCTTTTAACACATATGTTAATAAGATACAAAAATATAAATGATATTATAAAAAGCACTTGCCTAATTGTTTTTGTCACCTAGGCAGGCACTTAGTCACCTAGACGGGCACCTAGTTGCTAAAAGTCAAGGCGTTTGGGCGAGGCACCCAACCAAGGGTGCCTAGTTGCCTAGGCGATGCCTTAACAACCATGTATGGGTGTTACTGTCTCTAGCAGCTAACTACAGTTGGGAATTGCACCAATTAGATGTCAAGAATGCCTTTTTGAATGGAGATTTTCAAGAGGAGGTTTATATGGATCCTCTACCAGGGCATACCATCAATGGAAAAGTATGCAGGTTGAGGAGAGCCCTGAATGGCAATCACCTAGGGCCTGGTTTGAAAGATTGTGCAAGGCAATGAAGATTGTAGGGTATTATCAAAGCGGTGCTGATCACACACTATTCTATAGAAAAATATGAGAGAAACTATCAACGTTGATTGTTTATGTGGATGACATGGTGGTGACAAGAAATGATTCAGAAGAGATCAAACGACTTAAGAAGTTTTTGGCCTCTGAGTTTGAAATAAAAGACTTGGGACCTCTAAGGTACTTCTTGGGAATAGAGGTGGCCAGGTCTAAGGAAGGAATTTATATTTATCAAAGGAAGTATGCCTTGGACCTCCTAAAGGAGACAGGAAAATTAAATAACAGGCCTATTGAGACTCCTATAGAACAAAACCATGGATTACAAGAAAAGAATGAGGACCGTTACCCAAACAAGGAAAGATATCAACGGCTTGTGGGTAAACTTCTCTATCTATCCCTCACTAGACCCGATATTTCTAATGTTGTCCATGTTGTTAGTCAATTTATGCATACTCCCTGAGTTGCACACATGAAGGCAATGGAGAGAATACTAAGGTCAAGGTTCAAAATATCGATATCGGCGTATCGGCCTGTATCAGTGCCTATATCTCTATTTTTTTTTATTTCTTTCGAATCTAGTTCAGGGGGGTCGGTTTAAGGCCCGTCTATCCCCTAAACCACTGCCTGACCCGAAACACCCCTGTAGGGGTGTATCAGGAAGGCCCCAATACGATACGTATCGGCTGATACAGCCCGATATGTATCGATATTTTGAACCTTGACTAAGGTACTTGAAGACATGTCCTAGGAACGGGTTATTATTTAAGAAGCATGATAAACTTAACATTGAAGCCTAAACTCATGCTAATTGGGCTAGATCAGCCCGAGATAGGAAACCTAAAACTAAATATTGCACATTTGTGGGTGAAAATCTTGTAACCTGGAGAAGCAAGTGCAAGAAACAAATTGTGGTGGCTTGGTCAAGTGCTGAAGCTGAATACCAAGCAATGGCACATGGAGTGGCTGAACTTTTTTGGATCAAGATACTACTAAAGGGATTGGGAATAACTATGTCAGGTCCCTTGAAGCTCTATTGAGACAACCAGCTGCAATAAATATTGCTAATAATTCTGTTCATAAATAATAGGACCAAACACATTGACATTATAGACACTTTGTGAGAGAAAGGATTGTGTCTGGAGAGTTATTTATTCCTTACATGCCATCTGCAAGATAGGTTGTTGATGTCTTCACTAAGGGACTTGCTAAATCCAGATTTGGAGACTTGGTATGCAAGTTGGGCATGATGGACATCTATGCTCAGCTCAAGTGGGAGTTTTGTGGGACTTAAATGGTGGGCCTCGGCCCATTTATGTTGTGTCTTTCTATTTATTGTTGGGCCATACTTCTGTTATTAAGTGTTAATGGGCCTGGGCTTGTTTATTTTAAGTTACACTACCTCTTATTAATGGGGGGGGGTAAAGTTGTAATCTCATGTTGCCCTAATATAAATATTAGTTTGAAGGACTGGTTAAGAAAGTGCCGCCCTATTCTAAATCTCTCCTTTTTCCTTCTTCTTCTTCTTTTCTTTTCTTCATGAATCAGAATACAAACAATGATGAGTAAAAAGGAGAGATCTCATAGAAGGCAATAATACAATGTAACTGCAACAGCAGCAAACCATATGAGGTGCCCATATTTAACCCAGGAATGCTCATGATTTTCAACTCTACAACATTCATATCAGATGGTTTAGAGCCCCCTAACAAATAACTTCCTCTGTCCAAGTGCTTTTGCAACATTGCTCAGAATTACTCTCAAGCTATGGCACTGGTTGGTACAAAGGCCAACACGGTGAACAAGATAATTTTGATTGAAATTTTAGTAGATATCACCATATTGAATGGCTTTTCTCATGCATATCTCCGGAGAGTCCGGATCAGGTAGGCACAATGCCACAATCAGTGAACACACTGAGTAATCACTCAGTAAATTTTGCAGGCACCTGTTCTGTAATGGGAGTCATGGTTTTTGGATGTTTTTTCTTTTTCTTTATGCTATGAATTTCCTCAGAGCACGATAAATGCATAATGGCGCCTCTTACCATTCCCCATTACTCTATTCCAATCTCCAAATACAAAAACCGAGAGCCTGGAATTTGAATCTTCTGATGTTAAAAGGAAAAAAAAAAAAAAAGTAGAGCTAATAACCATTTGAACTGGAAACTGAACTTAATACGATGGCATAGACTTAGTATACCTGTATGTGCAAAGCGTGGGCAAAGGACACTGTTTAATCATGACTTCGAGATCTTGGTAAGGATTGAAGTTCTTTATATAGTCCAACCTGAGCTCAACGAGGTCTGCACCAGCTGCCTTCGCCTTACCCATATTGATCAACATCTGATCAACGGATTGGCCCATTATAGGTGCACAGATGAACGTGGAATTCCCCGCCATTTTTCAAGAGTCACTTAAAAGAATATGCCAAGAAGCCAGAACTAAAACTTAGCAAAACTATTTAAACAAACGGAGTAAGTGGAAGACAAGAACTCCCCAATGAGATTACTGATACAGAAATGTGGAGAAAACACACAAACCCTAGATCTCGAACAACGGTGGTATCAACAATCTGCTGGACTCCATTATAGATGAATTGAGGAGAAGAAAACCGAGACAAAACAGCAAAAATAAATTATAGTATAGTTGGTGGAGGGGAGTGGAGACCAACTGACAACTGCGGAAGTGCAGAGTGAGGTAATTATGGACCCACTGCTCGGCTACTTGCAATGTGGCAAGCCCTGCAGTTGGGCTGTTCACATTCGACAGCCTCTGCAGCTCTGCTCTTATGCAGGGCTCCCTGTAGACGTGACAGTTAATACAGCCTTCATGCAGAAAGGAGGGATATAAACGGATTGAATCGGATCGGAATATCGGAATATCAAATTTGATTCATTTATATTTAAATTCAAATACATTAACATAAATTAAGATTGAAATAACAACAAATAAGGTATATAAATTCATAATAAAGGCATATATTAAATACATTAACAGCATTAAATTTAATATTGAAATAACAATAAATTGGCATACAAAAAACAAAATTATCCTTCAAGTATCATCTAATTTTCTTTATCAACCATCCCGTAAAACCAAAACGAGTATCACGGGTAAAACCATACCGTCGAGGATTTCGATGCAAAAGAACACTTGCAATCCTGAAAGCTTTCGAGTTTGGGATTCATGGGTTCCAGATTCTCCGTTTTCATGATCTTTACGTTACTAGCGTTGCTGCCGATATACGCTTGCGGATACTGCTCACCGCTATCAGACAAGCAGCCCGAACTCCCGCACTAGCTGTTAATGGAGAAAATTTCCATCCTCAGGTACCCTCTCTCCCTCGCTTTCTTTATCTTCTGTTTCGTGACAACTGCTGCTGAAAAGATCTCATCTTTTTCGCTCAAGAAATTCGAGACAAACCCATCTTCGGCTCACAAGTCACTCTCTTCGGCGATGCCGAGGTTGTTAATGGTGGTTCTTCCGTTAACGTTACTCATTCGTCGATTGCAACTCATTAAGCTTGTTGAAGGGAACCCTATAAAAGAGTGTCCTTCTCTACATATTTCTCTTTCTCTATCTCCCCTGACCACATGGCATCGCTTTCGTGCTTCTTCCAAGTGGGTTTCCTTCCCAATTCTTAGACGGAACCTCCTTTGAGCTCTCCCCGGGATTGGGGAAGTTGGGCGCTCGAGTTCTGGCTGTTGAATTCGACACCTCCATGGACGCCAAGTTTGGTGAACCGAACGGAAACCAAGTGGGGATCGACATAGATACCCTCGTCTCTGTTGCTGTGAGCAATGTGACCTCCCTGGGTTTGGTGCTCAACGGTGGTGACAAACTGCATACGTGGATTGATTACGACACCAACTCCAAATACTTGCAAGTTAGGTTGGGCAAATTAGGCAACGTGAGGCCATCTGATCCGTTGATTTCTTATCCAATCGATTTGGCAGAAATGTGGAAGAAAGAAGAGGTGTTCGTGGGCTTGAGTTCATCTACCGGGAATTCTTCCAAGACCACAACTGTTCATTCATGGACTTTTATGTTGGAGCTTAGAGAGATAGCAGTGGTGGTGGTGCATTCATGGAGCTTGGATGTTCTTGGCGGGTTGGTGCACGTTGGATTAGAGAATCCAACGGAAAATGCTTGTTGTCTTGGAGGTATGTTAGAGCTTGAAGCAACTGTTTGTCTCTTTTTCATTTTCTTAAGAAAAAAAGATGATGAACAGGGTAATTTTGATATTTTCAAATCTTAAATCGCACGTGAAGTCACGTGATATACATAATTAATGGTTATTAAGAATAGGTATTAGATTGTCGCAAAATGAAAGTTTGGATAYTAAATTGTCACGTTTTAAAGTTCGGATACTAAATTGATAGTCAACCTAAAGTATAGAGTATTTATCAAGAATTTTCTAAAAAAAAATATATATTTTAGGATCCAAATCATTTTTATTGATGGTAGAGAGTTATATTTTAATATCTCTCACTGCTCAGTGAAATATATTAATAGAAGATACAATAAGGGGGTTCATTGTTTAGCGAAGCATTCTACTTCTCTCTTAGGCCTTATATCCGGTCTTATCCACTTCATTTTATCTTTGATATTTTATTAGGAGGCTGTAATTCCTTAGCAGTTTATGAAATCTTTGTCTTATTGTGCCAAAAAAAAGTTTAAAACATATATTATATGGATTTTTATAAATTATTATATGCACGAAGTCACTATTATGTTAGTATTCATTCAAGTCCAAGATGCAAATCATATGCAATTATAATATTTTAATTATAAAATCAATTATTTTTACTTTTTAATATTAAAGAAAATGTCATTTTAATATTAAATTATTAAATGTTTGGTAAAYAATATTATTATTTTTACATAATAAATATGTTGTTATTTAATGTAAATTAAAATACAAATAATAATACATATAAATATACAATCTTAACTTAAAATATATCTTATCTATTAAAAAGTTTTAAGATACATATCATATGTAAATTTATAAATTTTAATTGCTAAAATAATTATTCCATTAATAATACATTATTTTTATAATTTTCTTGAAATCAATAATCTTTTATTTTATATATAAATGTAGATTAACAGATTTGATAGAGTTTTTTTTTTGAAAAATGATTTGATAGACTATTGATTATTCATTTTATTGACATTTATAAAATTTGAAAAATATTCTGTTTACGGTTTAGTTGAATGCAAATATATACTACTATTTATTTTGATTACATATGGACATTAAATTAAATAAGTTATTTGTTTAGATTCTTAGCGTGAGACTATATTTCTAAATTAGGTGATTTGCCTTTTATTTAAAAAGACAAATAAATATATAATTAAGGTAATGTGTCATGTGCAGAATATTTCAAAACAGCTGACAGCTCAGGCTGTTTGTTTCTAGTTCAGTTTGAAAATAAGTGCAAAGCGAGGTTTAGAAATATAAAATACATGTTTTTGCATTATACATTTATATTTGCACTCTTCCCCAATTCAGCCTTTATTACAAACTTACAAACAGTTCATATTTGTGTTTCTAAACATTATATTTGTACTTGGATTCTTGACAAACAGAATAAATACTACACTAATGCGAATGAAATTGGATTTGTTCCTCAGAGAATGCACTTCTCACCAATCTACATAGCATCTTACGCGTGCATTGAAATATCTTCCATGTATATATGTTATCATTCATGAAAGATATTTTCAATGCATAGTTGTGATGCACTGGGACTCCGGATCTGTTCATATTTACTTACAACACACTACTTCATACATTGAGAATGCATCTTCTTGTGCATAATATTATGCAGGGGTGGCAATGAGTTGAGTTTTTTATGAACTGTTTGAGTTTGGTTCATGAAAAAAATTCAATTTGACTTGGTTTCAACTGTCAATGGCGCAATTATTAAACCAGCCCAGCTAAACCTATTAAAACTTGACTCCTAAGCTTATATATATACCAAAATGATAATATCATCATAAGAAAATGTTCACAATACATAACAGAAATGTACTGTAAGACGTTTTGGGAAGCAATCTGATGGGGGGACTGATTTAAACTCTCCCAATACATACACAATTGAAATGTGCTGTAAAACATTTATAGGGCGCAAATGTGGATTCTCTTGTGGGCAGAAGATTCGGACTCCGCTGACAATAATTTAAGGCGCTCTCTTTAAGGAACAGATCCGAACAGAAGGCGGACAATGAATAGAATGGACCCGGATTTACATAAACACCGAGGGTTTTCGGAATGGATATGGATCTGTCACGAAAGGGATGGGACGTACTTGGAACGAGTTGTATTTGTCATTATTAAACACTAAATAATTAAACATATATATTATATTTTTTTTTTGTTTTATCAAATAAAGCTAATTCAATAATTCACTCCACCTCAATTTCAGAATTAATAATTTGATCGTACAGTTCGGGTCAGTGTCTGGTGTATAGAATGAGCTGGACTCACAATAAATACATTTCAAAAAAAGGAAATTGTCTAAAACTCTTTATGAGTTTTCGTATTTYTCTTAAATTCAYCATAATTTTTCAGAATATCTAAAATTCATTATGTCACCAATTTGACGTGAAATAAACTAATGGGTGTTAATATATTATCATTTTAATCTTTAAAAAAATATATGAAATATATATATTTTTTAATAATTAGACATAAAAAACAGGAAAAAGTTTAAAAAAAATATCTTCAAATATAAAATACATAAGAACACAGAAATTTTAAAAAATATAAAAAATTATAGAAATTGCAAACAAAATAAAAAAATATTTTCATATTATAGAAACTATAGAAATTAAAAAACAAAATCAGAAAATAAAAATTGTAGAAAAACATAAAAAATTATAGAAAAACACAGAAATTGCAAATAAATAACAAAAAATACAGGAAAATTTATAAATTGTAGAAAATAGAAAAATGTAAAAAAACAGAAATTATAAAAAAATATTAAAAATTATAATAAAACACTAAAAATATAAAAAAAAAACATGAAAATTAAAAACTGGAAAAGACCTTTTTCTTCTAAGTCGCCATTCAAGGATAATTTGGTCATGAAAATTGTTATTTATACTGACGTAGACACCTCTGTTAAGAAGCATTAATGGTGCACTAGSGAAAAGTAAGTTTTAGACATTTTGAAAAGTTATGATAAATTTAAGAGAAGTGCTGAAAACTCATGGTAAATTTTAGAAAATTTCCTTTGAAAAAATAATTTTTTAGTTTTGAAGCTAAATGAATTGTAAAAAGTCTTAATAAATAATAATAAATTAAACAATTAAACTTAGTAGACGAATAGGATGCTGTGTTTTTTATCACGTGGGTGACAGGGAAATTTGATCTTTCGCGAGATCGTATCTGCTCACATTGCAATCAATGCACTCCATATGTAAGAACTGAGAAGCACATCCCGCTTTGAAATGTCTCTTTTGTACCAAATTCCCCATAGATCCGATTCAGTCAACACAAGACGTGCTCACACCATAATCACAGACACTTGCAAGCAAGGTTTTTAAAACCGATTCAGAGATCGAATCACTGGTCTGGTTTTTGGGTCAAATAGTCCGATTGTTTGAACCCAACAGTCAGTTTATTCTGACAAAAAAATAAAAAATAGTTAAAACCATCAAATGGTTCAATCACTCTG